CGAGGCATCGACCCGCTATTATTTTATCCCCGCCAGTTGGAAAAATTTACTCAACCAGATCTGATTGTTTCGATAATCGTCCTCGTGTCGAGCAAACGATGTTATGCGCCTACCTTTGCCCGAGAGTATATCGGTAATAAAACCGGTTTCGATCGAAACGCGCACGCGTTTCTCTTCTTACTTGCGACGAATCACGATTATTGAATCTATGGAAAAATGAATCGTTTGAACTCACCTTTTTTTCGCGCGTGTAAAAATCTGTGATCCGACATCTTCGAAGATCGATGAATTAATAAACGTACGAGTCCTTCGCGAACGAACGAGATTTGATCGACGATATATATTTTATGTCGCGTGATTTTGGACATAGACATTCGGGACACGAGATATGGCGCGAACACGAGTCACATTCCTTCTGTTCGATCTCTTCTTGCCCACCACGAGTCTCGCCTAAAGGAAAGGATAAAAAGGAAAGAAAAAGTCGTCAAAGATTCGGTGGCCTTGAAAGACCTGTATATCTTGACGGCTCGCCTTTGTTATTTTTATTATAAAACATATTATTATTTTTATTATAAAATGTTATAAAGTTTCATAAGTTTTGGACGATAAAAAAGAAATCGTGGGATTGATTGGGAATGGATTTATTATAAAATAAATTTTTGAGATATGTTCAATTGGAAATAATGAATATAATTGTGTAACATCTTGAGAATTTCATGCGTGATTATTAACATGAATGACTATTAGATTACGAAGGTTTGTGGAAAATTAAATTTTTGTGATTATGTGAATAAATAAATGAAGTTTGAATGGATGTTTTTTCTGTTTTACTTTACACGATAAGCAGTTTATTAATTATAAATGTGTGTAAAATATTATTGATTGTCTCAAGATGATTAAGATAGATTGTGAAATGTATTGTATTGTATTTTTAATATTATTGTTATTGGTCGTGTAAGGACTGATAAACTTTAATTAATAAGATAAAGTTCAATGGTAATATGATCTTGATATGGTTTTTTAAAAATCTAGATAGGTATCTAGAAACGATTTCAATAATCATTAAATTTTAATAAAAATTTTGTTAAGTTACAATTAATCATCATTTATATAAATAAGTTAAAAAAAAACAAGTTTTTAAGTAAATTTTTTTCCAATAATAAAAACGATAATAATTGATAAATAGTGCATGTACCAGTCAATTTCAAATAAATATAAGAAATATTTTTTGTAGATTATATTAAAACATGTCATTACATATAATGAATTACATAATAATGAATAATATTATTTTGTATATATTTTATTATTATTTCATATATCTTTCTACAATGTTCTATATTTATCATCTAAAATTTCTTATAGCATATTTACTTTCCATCAATTTTATAATAAAAGTTAATTTTCTATTAAAAAATTTTATTGAGCTGAATTTCGAATTTCTCAACATTATCCCTTCTTTCTCATTTAATTAATTCTTATTAAATCTTCCTCTTTAACTCTTATTTAATTGTCATTAATAAAAAAAAAGGAAAAATTGATTCGCATCCAAAACCAATATTCTTTCAATTCGAGATTCATCTATTCTTTTTCAAGGATCAATTAACGAGGAACAGAGATTTCATTGTACCATATTAATTGATGCATGGTATATTTATCATTTAATCTAAATAAACGTCCATTTACATCGTATAAATCCGTATAGAGACAATTTTCCCTAGGCATACGTATCCAAGCACTCCAAGAGTTAATTAGATACATTACAATGTATCGTGATGAAATAAGCAGCAATCTTGCGACAATATTAACAAGGCATGTACCAAGCTTAATGTATTGAAACTCACGAAACAGATACTCAGTTTTCACAAAAGAAACCATAGCCACGTTTCGCAAAATCTTGTTTTCCTTGTTATCTTAGTTAAATTAAAAAAAAAAAAAAAAGAAAAAAAACGGAATAAAAGGTACTGCTTTCGCAACTGTTACAAGAGAAAGGGAATTTTTCGTAAATCGAATCATTCCAGCGGATAGGAACGTGGATAATTGCGTTTAGAGCGTTTCTGATAAGGATCTTATTTCAAAATTCGTCAATTGGAAATAATTTGTGCGTCTATATCTTAAGGTTATAATATAGCTGTGTGTAGCAATCAACGTGAAATCTGTAAAACGATCTCTCGAGATCGAGTTAGAGAGATTTATAGAGATATTTTTTACACATCGGTTAATAATTATAAATCGATCGATTTGCATATAATAATTATGATATGCAAAATGATTGAGAAATCGAAACTGTAAACGAGATTGTGAGTATTATTGAACGCGTTTATATGCATATATACATTTATTAATATATATTTATTAATACGAATGGAAAAAAAAATATATATAATGAGAAAATTCCTTCTGTTCGTATATATATCTCCTTTTTTTTTTTTTAATTCATTATGTATATGATCTTGAAATAAAATATGTTTATCATTCGTTTGAAGTAGTTTGACGCAATTTAAAATGGTAATTTAATCAAGGTTGGTAGTTTAATCGCAAAATTGAATTTAATAATAGTAATTATAATAAATATATAAAAAAATTAATGAAATCTCGATAGAATTATGAATATACAATAACTAATATTTTAATGAATATTAAGATCATGGTATTATTAAATTTTCCGTTAACAAATTAATTGATTCAAAAATAAATAAATAAGAAATAAATTCATTAAAGATTACGTTAAAGATATTTATAAATTTCTCAAACGATCTGATTTATCATAAAATTTAGACAAATTATAAACGAATAAATAAAATATATTAATTTTCTTTCATTCCATAGAAAATCATCGAGAAATATTAATTTCCTCTTTCTTTTATTCTTTTCTTACACATTACTTATCATCGATTCAAATCCATTGAACGAACGACAACCAAAAAAAAAAAAAAAAAAAAA